TTAGTTGCCAAGGGACAAGGGAGAGGGATAAATGTGTCCCTTGAGCTCACGAGAGGTGGCTGGAAAGGTAACTCTTGACCCACCTGCAGCCACCGTTCCCCAGCACACGGTTGTGAGAGTCATTGGCATCTCTTACGATGAGTTCCGGAAGTGAGGACAGCCCTACACGGAACAGCTACTTACATGCTGCTTGCTTTCTGTATGCATATTGTAAGTCTTCAGATATGTCTTAAGCCTCCTGTGTCACAAGCACTGTGATGAGTTTTCCTCTCCTTTGTCTTTTCCCTCCTCCTTCTTCTTATTCTCCTTGTTCGCCGTCTCTTTTTTTCTAGTATCAGCAATTGAACTCAGGGCCTTTGCATACAATCCAACCGAGTTATTTATTTATTATTTATTTACTTCTTTACTTACTTAGAGACAGGATCTCACTTAGGCAGTAAATTGCCCAGGGTGGGCTCAGACCTGTGATCCTCCTGCTTCAGTCCCCAAAAGTGCTGAGATTTCAAGTGTGCACCTCCACATCCAGCTTGCTTTTTTAAAAAAACTCTTGCTCTTTCCTTTCTTGCATCCTTTTCTGCCAGTTTTATCCTCCCCTGAGAGCAGCTCGGGATGCGAGACCCTCCTGGAGTGCTTCCGGCCACTCCCTGCAGCTTTCTTTCCAGTGACCCACTTGCTTGCCAGTGACATAAGCAGGTGCCACAGAACGGAGATCTATATAAATAACTATTAATGGATGCTCTATAATGGAGCGTCTTCAAAGCCAAAGGAGTTTTGTACGGAGTGTCACATCAATTAGGAGAAAAGCTCATGTGTTATCGCAAATACTAATTCCCTAGAGATTCCAGTGTTGTTGTCACGAAAACCACGTTACAGTTACCGCCGACTTGGCCCCAAACTCGAGAAGATGCGTGTAGGCACACGGACACAGTCTCCTAGAGCTGACTGAAGTACTGTTAGTCTATCACCTTTTAGCTCTTCAAGATGGAAACTGCCTTTTGGAGAAAGAAAAACTTCCCCAGTGTCACTAAAATATCCTGCATTCTAGACTGAGAAAGCAGTTGTAAGTTCTTGTTTCAACTAAAATTGTCTTACCTAAAGAGCAATTTAGAAAAGGTTTTTACACTCTAACTGAACTCATTCTACTTTCTTGAGAAGAAAATAAAACAAGAAATAACCAGTTCCTAAACTTCATGTCAGAATAAAGAAACGTCGCTTTTCTCTGGTTACCTTACATATTCCTTGAGAAGTAACCATGTCTTAAATTCCTCCAAAATTTCCTTCAAAAGAAAATTTCCAAGGACTCTTTCTGTTGTACATAAAAAGAGCTTTTCTGCCAGCTTTGGTGGCACATGTCTGCAATCCTGGCACTCTGGGAGATTGAAGAATCAAGATCACAGATTCAAGTCCAGCTTGGACAGTTTAGCAACTTTCTAAGACCTTGTCCTCAAAATAAAAACATAAAAGAGCTGGAGATATAGCTCAGCGTGAAGAGCCTGGGTTCAATCTCCAGTACTACCAAAAACAAAATGCCCCATTTGTTTAGTGGTTTACTCAGCAAATGCTTTTGGAAGACCTTCCACGTATCTAGCTGTGTGCCAAGGCCTTGAGATCTGGCCAGAAATATGAAGGGGCCCCTTGATCTCCCTAAGTTTACAAATGAGTAGGGAGGGAGAACATTTTTAAATGGTTTGCATATACTTAAATTTTATACATTCTTGTATATGTGATAAATTTCATATTTTGAAGAGTATAAAACAATAAAGTCTTCGAATAAATAGTTGCATAAAAAATAACTAATATTGAGAATGAATACACCATCAGAGTCAGCAAGAGCTAAACAAATAACCATTTCATGCAAATAGGTAAGAGGAGAGCAATGTGGGAGGGCGTGTACCTGCTTCTCCCAGGTTACCTGCAAGTATCGTAGCAGTAGTCTCTTCTAAACAACAGCTATCATGTTTTTCCTGCCTAAAGAAGTGATTTTCATGATGAAAACCTCAGACCCAATAAAGAGCCCATGGGGAAGACGGTTTCAGAAAGGCAGAGATTTCAGAGGAGATGCCGTTTTACAAATAAGCAGGTACTTTCCCTGAGAGAGTTTAAGCCTCAGTTTACGTCCTGCTGAAATCACTGTCACTACCACCAAGCTTGAGTATAGAGAAATCTTAGAGCTGAGTTTCAAAAGTTGACCCGATATAGAGATAATAAAAATAAACAGATAGTGTAAGGCAAAGGAAACCTAAATAAATAAAATATCTGACACAAAAGTTTTCAAAAGCATGGGGATCTAATTTTTCTAAAAGACTCAGCTAAAGCAATGTTAGCAGGCAGCTCATCAAGTTTTAAGAACACAGAAAAGCAAAATCAATATCACTGGCATCTGACATTACTATCGAGGGGAAAAAGTAAAGGAGTTCTGTTTATGCCTTTAAAATGCCATTACTTGGACAAAAGTCATAACAGAAAAGCATTGTTTGTTTCCTTCCTCTCAACTGTAAATATTATGGCCAAAGCCCCAAAACTCCTTAGAACTCAGAAAGAGCACATCATTGCCTGGGGTTGCCTGGACAGTTGGAGAGGTTGAGGGGGCTACCGGGGACAAAGTCTTTCCCGTATACATTGTTTCTTTTTCTCCCCCAGCTACTGGATGTCTTTGTAAATCCTTTATAACACTCCTTCTCACTACTATTCAATTAGCTTTCAAAGAAATGAACAGGACCTATGTACCAAGATTGCCACTTTACCAAGTACCACTGCAAGAGTTCACAACTAGCTGCTTTAAAGTAATTGGCATCATAATGTGCAGAAAAATTACTTTTCTAATGGTTGCCTGGAAGATTTATAACCCTAAAATGTAATTAAAAAGTAGATTTAGAAGTATGCTCAGCAACCAAAAAGATTAAATATTAATGCGGAGTGTAATTAATAAATTATACATTTCTTGATTACTAATGGCTTATTGACTGTAAAAGCATAACATTATGGAATATTAGGGCAAACAAGAGCTTTTGAGGAATATTGCTCAGCTTCGAGAAGGAAGCTGCTGCTCTTGAATTTTCAGAAGAAATTCTGATTTTGCGAGGAGAATACAAATTGGCCTGATTATTCTCAGGATCTTTCCTCGCCTCTGCTATAGGTTGTTATGAACTTCGTTGTTCCTTACAAAATGAAATTTTTGTGGTTTCCTGAACATTTTCATTGTGCTAAGACAATTTGTATTGCACATCCTATAATTTCCTGGAAGAAGTAAAGTCTTAATTTTAAAAGTATTTCTGGTCTCTTATGCAGAAATAAATTGTCTCACACCATTGACAAGGGCACAAATGAAAAGAAGATTCAGAAATGATGCTCTGTGGGGGCTGGGGATTTAGCTCAGTGACACAGTGCCTGCCTGGCAAGCTCAAGGTCGTGAGTTCGATTCCCAGTACTGGAAAAAAACCAAAAAAAAAAAAAAAAAACAAGAAAAGAAATGATGCCGTGTGGTGTTCAAAACTTGAAAGACATTGCAATCTGCATAAGATACAGTATGACTGTAAATAAACAATGAATGGGAACTACAGTTCAGGCCTCCCCTTATCACCGATCCAAAGTTGTTTTCTTTGTTTCATGTAGTAATCAAGGAAACAAAATGATTACATTTGGTAAGGATCTCACTCAATCTATGAGTCTTCTGACTTATTAAGTGCTTTCCTATGGAATTTCATTAAAGTCTGTGCAGAAGCAAGGGATGTCCAATTCACTTATCTTAAATTACTTTTCTGTTGTGGCTGAGACAAAATGCCCGGCACTCACAAGTGAAGGGAGGAGGGTTTATTTAGCTCACAGTTTGTAGAGTTTTCAGTCCACAGAGCCCATAGGGAGCTGGCTTCAAGGCAGGATGGTGTGGCACAGAGGCATTACGGAGGGGAAACAGCTCTTTGCAGGCAGGAGACAGTAAAAACAAGCAAGTGACCAACTATAAGTAACTAGGAGCAAGGCTTTTTCTGTCCCTTCCATTGCATCCAGGCTGCCCACCCTTAGGGTGTACAGCACTCACATCCTTAATCCTATCACTGCACCATGAATCTATTACACACTCTAGATCCAGCTGCCTCTGAAAAAGCCCCACCTATGACCACGTGAAGCTTTAGGGGAACATCTAAATACAACCTATAACACCACTAGAACCAAATCACATTTTTTTCTTTTGAAATTAGTCAATGTCTTCTATCACTTCCTGTCCTTCTGAAAAAGGGACTCTCACATCAGCACTTAGAACAACAAAAGGACTTCAGAAGAAATAATATCTAAGACACATTGTTCAGTAAGTTTTAGGAAATTTCCCTGAGGGAACCTGGTGAGTGCTACAGAAAATTAATTTTATTTCTCAAGTGGAATGCTTCCTGGGTCAGAGTTCAGAGAACAGGAAGTCTTAATGTTCCCAGAAAGCCCATGACTACTAGATCTTTGCTCTTATTTCAGCATCAGTGTTTCTTCCTTAGGCAGCCATTCTTTATGTGCACTCTTTCTTCATAACATACATCACATTTATTACTTACCTTTGGTCCATATATCTAATCATGCATTGTATCTATTTATTTATTTTATCTATATTTCTGTTTATTTTCTATGTAACCTGGAAAGTGTGGATAAACTTGCATGGACTTGAAACCTTCAAATTATAAGTTTGCTGGCTCAGGTCTAATACAAACTGTATTATAGGAAATTATTACAGTGTTTGTTTAAAAACACAAATAATAATATAATCAATAAATCCCAGTATTATATTTCTTCAAGCAATACTCCCTATTTAATAAAAAAAGTCATAAAAACTGCTTAATAAATCACTAGTATCTTAGGAATTTCATAAAATTTCTCATTTCATAAATGAAAAATTCAAGTTCTCACAGGGTTACATGACTTAGTTTAACTCCTACAGTCATGTGTTAAAGTAAGTGTGTTGTCCAAATGGTACTAGCTTTTATGCTATTATTGTATTTTATAAAACTATAAATGCGTACCTGATTAAAATCTTCACAATTACTTCACCTCTTTTATCAACAGCTGTTTTTTGGTTTTGCTTTGTTTCTAGTTTTTGTGATGCTCGGGCTGGAACCCAGGACCTTGTGGGCGCCCGGTACCGCGCTACCGCTGAGCCACATCCTCATCCATTGACAGCTGTGCTTGACTCTTGTGGCAGAAGAAAACTCCTGCTGTTTTCTTCATAGTTTCTGCCTCTGCTTTCCAAGAGAGCAATGGAGTACTATATTAAAGTTTGCTTCAGAAGAGACTGTTTAAAAATGACATTTATATTACTTCACGTTATGGTCTCAAAATGCATTTATTTTCCTACAAATGACTCAAATTGATCCTTTTTCATCAAGGAAAAGGAAAGAGAAAGGTAGACTGTGCAGATGGGAGGGGAAGCTAGGAATAGGAGGATAGAGAAGAGAAGGAGAAGTAAACACAGCTAAGATGCAATATGTGTATGTACCAATTCCCCATGATGAATTATTATAATGTATCACAAACATATATCAATAAAATGACTGTTATAAGAAAGACTCATTCTAATTTAAGTAAAAAAGATAAAAGATTTGCGTCTACACTGAGTAAATTACATATACACATGAAGTCTGAAGGAAAACATAAGAAAATTTTCTATGATAGAATATTATTTTTCATATATCTACTGGTATAATATTATTTATTCAAATAAAAAATTATAATATGGTTAAGAACATATCCCTTAGGTAACAAACAGAGGTTGGCTTCTGGGCAGAGAACTCCAATACTTTGGCTTGTTGGGCCTAAAATGTACCAGATCCTTCACAATACAGAACTGAGTAGCAGTTACCCAAACATGCTACTGTTATCTCCTTTGCTTCACCCTTCTTTTCTGTTGGTGACATGGACTTTTTGGAACTCGATTACGTACCGCCACAATCCTTTATGACAACATGAAGAGCCAAAGTTTTTGGAAACTGACTTTGGGGCTAAAAGTCACCTGTGAGTAAAACCTACCCTAAAGTTACACGAGGATATCAATAGCCCTTATCCCAGTGACAGGGAACACCTGCACTTAAAACGAAGGTAACAGTTTTAATTATGAAATGAGAGTGCAAAGCCTGCTAGAGCTATGACATCATATGGGACATGGGGATAACAAGGGCTGAAGATCTTCTGATTTTAAAATGTATCCAACTCCAGGGTTCAAGAGTTGTGGACCTATATTCTATCTTATTTTAGTACTTGGCATTATCATTGTCTTGCGTCAGCACCCAAAGGCCTTTAGGTGCTCTCCCGCATGAGCACAGCCACACGTAGCCCAAATCTGATCAGACCTCATTGTTAATCTCCTGACAATTTCTTAGCAAACTCAGTCCAGGAAAGTCATCCTTCCTGGCTGTTGATGGCTTATTGGAAATCTAAGAGCTGTGCTCAGAACCTTGGGCTACAATAGTGACAACAAGTTAATCTGATTTGTACCACTGTCAGTGCTCATCTGCCTAGGATATTCTATAATCTCTCCAGAATATATGAAAAGGAAGCCGGGTGTGGCAGCACATGCCTGTTTTTTCAGTTCTCTGGGAGGCCGAGGCAGGAGCACCACAAGTTCAACCCAAACCTGGGCAACTTAGCAAGTCCCTGCCTCAAAATTAAAAAGGGGCTAGGGATACATTGGGTTCAAGCCCCCGTATCCCAGACACAAAAAATACATGATAGGGATGTATCTACAACTTTTCCTATTTTAAAATGAGCAATAATAAGTTTTGGTGATTTGGCTTCAGAGTAAATTATTGCCCAATGATTTATACACCAAAAACATAGAATAATCTATTTTTACATTTATTTTTAGGAACTCTGGTAGTGGAAGAATGGGAAAATAATTAAACTTAGTGTATTTCAACTTTCACACATTTTTAATAGCATGCAATGTTGGTAAAAAAAGACAAGTCATTACATTTTGTAATATATATGGATCACGCATGCCAGTTGGGTGCGAGCAATTTGATATTCAAGTTCGCTTTTCCTTAAAAGAAGGAGTAGTTTCTGTCATTTCATATTCAAATTTTATCTCACGTCTTCCTCTGCACATTCATCAAATTTACGAAATAGGCTGGCATCGAAAACTCAGCCACTGAACACTCCGGAGTAAAGTACTCCCTGGATAAGGCATATTTTGGGCAACATATTAACTCTTTGGAAGCTTCTCAGGAGCCATTTAGCATATTTAAATAATAAGGCAGGAAATCAACATCAATTAATATTTTCTCTGTGCCCACAGGGTACTTGGCATCCTCTCTTGGACTCAGTAGGAAAGAGTCATTAACTGTCCCTGTTCTCAGAGGGCATTTTCCAGACAATAATACCAATCAGGTTCTTTTACCAAACCGCAGAAAGCCAACAGAAAAGTGTAATGTTAGCAAATTAAGAGACTGTGTTTTTTAAATGACTACTTTATATCAGCTAGGTTAAATTTGCGTCTTTGAGGTTCTGGAGCAAGGCTTGGGGAATATAATACCACAAGACAGAATGGATGGCGAGAAGAAAGTAGGAAAGAACAGAGGGAAGACCTGGTCCTCGTGCCGTGTACATGCAGCATAGCCTCTTCTCAGCGAGCTGGAAGCAGTTCACCCATGCAGTTACCCAGTCATTCCACTCAGTGTCCTCAGAGCTTGCTCCGGATTCTGAGGACAGAGCGGGAATAAGGTAGCCCTTTATTCCAAATACCTAATGGAGATTCCAGGGGTCCCTCCACCACTGGGTCACTGTGAAGATTAAAGAAGCTAGTCTGTGTTCCGTTGTCAAAATAATGGCTAGCACATGTGCTACATGGCACAAATACCATAATATTTATAAATAGTCTATTTTGGAGATAGACACATGAGTAGAATTTTCAGGGCAGCATGATAAGACAGAGCAGAGGATGCTGAAGAAACAGAGAATCCAGGCTGAGGGGAAGGGGCAGAGCAAGGGGCAGGGCAGGAAGAATCCACCAGGCAAAGGGCAGGATGGTCTGGTCAATAGCTCCGCGGGTGCACAGAACTCCAGGGCATGTGCCCTTTTTCCAACCTGGCCTGGAGTGATGGGCACAGAGTGGAGGGACATCTTCTCTCACGACCAAGGTGCATTCCTCCCAGCAAACCCCGTGTCCTCCAAGGGGCGCCACCCAAGCTTCCCAGCCAGGACGGAAGAGATCGGCTCCTCCTTCCTGCATAACCTCTCAGCAGAGCTGATTGTGTCTTGCCCAAAAGACCAGTCACTCCTGCTCCCCTAGGCACAGTTACAGCGCCAGGCTCTGCATGTGGCATTTCTTGGCCTTTGTCATGACTGTCTTAGAGACTGGGGAAGAGCCAGCCTGTGGAACAGACCCTGACACATTTACAGATCCCACCGGGCAAGGTGCTCCCGGGAGATGCTTCCCAGCATACGCAGATGTGGGCCAGGTGCTTTCAAAAAAGGGGAAAACGGGAGGCCGGCTGTTACCACAGAGTCCGAACAAAACCGCTAGTTTGGTTCTTGTTCCCTGAAGTAAGGCCCTCGATGAAAAGGGGAGGTGGCCATCTACAGTGCCCTCCTGGGATGTGGCAGTGCGAAATGTTGGGCGATGAGGGGACAGCAGCAGCTAGCCGAGGTCACGGCTGCAGAGTTTCCTGCGTCTCTTCAATGAACCCGCACGGTCTGCTGTGGGCCATATTCTGAGCCAGGATCTCAAGGATTCAACAAGGAGAGCCAGCTGTGGTAGCACATGCCTGTAATCCCAGCACTCTGAAAGGGACTCTCCGGTCCTGCCTGAGAAAAGGAAAGAAGTGACTTAGCAAGAGCCTGTCTCAAAATAAGATATCAAAAAGGGATGGGGATGCAACTAGTGCAAAAGCCAGGAGTTCAATCCCCACTACCAGAGAGACAGGAAGGAAAGAAGGAAGGAAGGAAAGAAGGAAGGAAGAAAGAAAGAAGAGGAAAAGAAAGAAAGAAAGAAAGAAAGAAAAAAAGAAAGAAAGAAAGAAAGAAAGAAAGAAAGAAAGAAAGAAAGAAAGAAAGAAAGAAAGAAAGAAAGAAAGAGAAAAGAAAGAAAGGAACAATTAGCTAGGCCAAACAGATGCACAAACGCTTGAAGTGCAGGGGCTAGGGACAAAGCTACCATCACACAGGCCATGAGGACAGGATGGCTAGTTCCACCTGCTGAGGCCTGGAAAGGTTCCCGAGGGAAGCGATCTGTGGCTGCGTGTGGTGGTTCAGGGCAGGAGCAGAAAGGAGTTCTGGTGGGTCCCATAGAAAGGCACAACCCCTCTCACAAGCAGTCACACAAACATAGATCACTGAAAGAGGCTTGGGGAAATTCATATTAGAGAAATTCACATAGAGACAGGAAGCGGTCAGGCGGAGGCTATGTGCAGAGGTACAGGAAGACTGGCCCAGGCCTTGAGATACCATGATGCCAAGCCTAAGAAATGGGGACACATTCTCCACTTGTGTCCCTGAGTTCCCTGAGCAGGCTGCACCCTGGGTCATCCTAGTGCTTCTCCTGGGTGTCTCCCTCCAAGCCCAGACCCTGCCCTGCCACAGCTGGGCTAAATGCCAAGAATGGCGTTGCTCTAAGAATGGAGTCCTGAGTTTCAACCCAAACTCTAGAACCCCTTCACTCCTCTTTTTCCTCAGTTTTCTCTCCTGCCCCAAGGTCTGGCCCTTTCAAAGCTCAAAAAAAACCAAAAAAGACCTTATTGGGTTGAGGGAAGCTACCCACCATGCCTTAAGAGATTTAGAGAAAATATAGAAGTAAAAAACAGCGACTAAGATTTAATCACTCTGCTATGTATAAATTGTGAAAACAAATACTTGATTCACAAACATTGTGTGAATTAACCTGTGGTTTTTAGTGTTCAAAGCTTCAGAAATCTCTCAAATTGGAAAGGTCTCTACAATCTACTACTGCTTATACTGTTGAAAAGAAACACTTGAGAATAATGTGTAATGCTACAAGATTCTGTACTTACAGAGCGGTGAAAGAAGCCTGTTCCAGATTCCTAGGACTGATTTCCTTGTGACAAAAGAGACACATGGAAGAGAAAGCCTTGTGCACCAGCTCCTCCTGCTCGCTGGCATGCTATCACGTGATGACATGAGGTTTGGAGCACAGGCAGCCATCTTGAGATCATGAGGGGAAGGCAAGGAGTTTTCTTCATAGTGGAGGGATGTCAGAACTAAAAAAGAACAAAATTTATAAGCTTGGTGCCATTGTTAAGCCATCAAATCTACCCTATGACCATTTACTTTAGAATTTTTGTAATGTAAAATGAGAGTTCTGTCTTGAGCTATTATCAATATGATTCCTACTGTTCTAACTGCATCCCACTTTATATAACTATGAAGTCAAATTAAATGATAGGGTTTTTTATTCTGAAAGTAAAATCTGAATATGTTTGATGACTAAATGAGTTGCTGGCTCTGGCCTTCGTTCTTAAGGTCCCCTCACAGAGTAATTAGTAACTTGGAGTTTTGACTTAATCCTGCTTCTTTCTTTGCTTCTTGGAGAAGGAAATAAAAATTTCTTCACTCATTTGGGTTCAGCATCAGAGGCCTGCGAATGAAACAAAATGAAAAGACCAGCAGGACAACAGCATCTAGATCTTCGTTCACATTAATGTCTTCACACGGCACAGGCAGCTTTATAGAAAAAATATGAAAACCCCGCGGGCGCTGATAGGCGTGGGGGTTTATATGCAATTTTCACATGGGGGGATAAATCTGTGAAGAAGTGAAAAGATAGGGGGCTGGGGATTTAGCTCAGCGGCAAAAGCGCCTGCCTGGCAAGCGGAAGGTCGTGAGTTCAGTTCCCGGTACCGGAGAAAAACCAAAAAAAAAAAAAAAAAAAAAAAAAAAATAATGGAAAAGGACTTGGGCTCCTGGGATAGTAAATTGTGGGAGAACAAATAGAAAAGACATAAGGGAACCCCTGGGACGTAAGGGGTATTTTAGTGAAGTTTATTTGAGCAGACTCTTGGCATTGTCTCCCTATCTGTAGGGAAGAGAATTTTCTCCTCTTTGTGGTACAGAAGGGAACCTTTCTCACAGGAATTCTCTGCCTTCTTTTAGGCAGGGAAGGCGAGGGCACAGGGCCCTTCCTACATTTACTTGCTCTTAATTGCTTTCATCTCACAATAATCAATATAATATAGCAACATATTTTGGGGTCACATCTTCTGATCCCTTTCATTCCCAAATTAGTAATCTACCTATCATCTTAGTTTTGTATTTAAAATATAAATAATTTATATTTTGTATGTAAATAATGTTTAGATTAGAAATATAAATATAATTTCATATTATTATCATAATTTCTAGTACTTAATCATGATGCTTGCCATATTTTGTATTTAAATTTTTTATTAGTACATGTTTGCACTACGTAATGTTTATGTTCTTCAGGGCAGTTGATGCATGTTCATAACATACCCTAACTTGTTTCTTCCATCCCTTTCTCTCCCCTCACTCCTCTCCCTCCTTCTCTTAATCCCCTTCCCATTTGAGAAAGCTCTGCCTCCCTACTTTCTATTACCTATCTTTTATTTTACTCTTTATTCATAATTTGGGTTTCTCATAACACACAAATGATGTGATATTTAAGCTTGAGTGTCTGATTTATTTCACTTAACATTATGGTCTCAGGATCTACATTCATTTTCCTACAAATTACTCAAATTTGTCTTTCTTTATGACACAGTAGCACTCCATGATATATAATTACTACATTTTCTTTATCCATTCATCTGTTTATAGAGGCATAGTTTATAATGGCTAAATCTTGACAGTACCCTATATATAAATTTAAAATTTTAAAGTAACATGTGATGATTATAACATAACCTCGAAAACCACCATCAAGAGTAAAATGAAACAAAAGCGGAGTGAAACTTCAGTAATTATAAAGTGAATTTACATTTTACCCGAGCTTCGTCCACGCATATGTATCAAGCATTTATTCCTTTCTCTTAATGAGAGGTGTTCTGTTATACAGACACAACATAGTCTGATTTTGATCCTTCTGCTGGTAGACATTTAGGATGTTTCCAGTCTGGAGCTATGATGAATAATGCTGCTATCAATGTTCTTGTACAAGTTATTTAAATGGACTTTTTTCTCATTTCATTTCTCCAGTGTGAAGAACAAGCAGAACTAGTAGTAAGACTGGGAACCAGAACGACAGTTGCTGCTCAGGGTGGCACAAAGGAATTCCTGCTGCCAAGGAAATGTTCTGTATCCTAACTGGCATGCTAACTACACAGAGATATATACTTTTAAAAATGCATCAAACTGTGCACTTTAATGTGTATACATTATACTCCCCTTTTAGAAACCACAAGAAAGCAAAAGAAAACCATCTGATAGAGTCCACATTTTTGATGAATAAAGAGCATTAGCACTCGGCATCCACTCCAGCCATTGTCTTGTGTTCCTGGCTGTGTTTGGCAATGTTCTATCGGAATGCTTGACTTACACAACTCAAAGGAGGAAAAGTTTATTTCAGCTCACAGTTTCAAATAGTTCGGTCAATGGTCAGCTGGCTCCAAGGCAAAAACACCATAGCAGAAAGAAATGGTGGAGAACAACTGTTACCTCATGGCAGCCAAGAACCAGCATGCAAGAGAAGAGCCCCCAGAATGATACACCATTAAAAGGCATGACCTTGGTGAACATGACTCTAGTGACCTACTTTCTCCAACTAGAGCCCACCTGCCAACTTCCTATTTAACATGAACTCATCAATGCACCCTCCCCATCCAGTCACCTCTCTAGGTGGCTCTAATCCAAGTTGGGTAATCAAAATTAACTCACATTTATGGCTCTGCAGAGGCAAGGAAGGTGACAACCATGTCTCTCAATAGCCCTTTGCATCAAGGAGTAACACCACCTTCTTCAAATTTGATATCTTTGTGAAAGATTTGCACAGAAGCAAGCAGAGGCGAGGTGGAGGCTGGCTTCCCGTTACTGGGAACATTGCTTTGGGCAGATAGTGTCGGGAGGTGGGAGGAGACTCCTATCCCCATTCTCATCAACAAAGATCAGGGCAACCAGGCCTATGGGGCCAGACATCATCCCAGTGTCCAGTCCCCAGTCTCAGGCATGCTGAGGGGCAGCAGGGAAGTGTCACCTGCAGAAAGAAGCTACAGCCTATTTTATTTTGTCTTGCAAATTCTGGACATTTTCAAGGACCCACAATAGTTGAAAGTACTGCATAGTCAAAGTCCATACATCTACCATCCAGGTTCCAAAGTTGTCAACTTTGTCTTCGACTTGCTTTAGCACACACCCATCATCTATTCATCTTTTACCTTCTTGTTTTCCAACTGATCAATAATGTGTGTATGTTATGAGATCTGGAACACAAGCCCTTCACACTGAGCTACATTTCCAGCCCTTTTTAAAACTTTTTAAATTTTGAAACAAGATCTTAATAAGTTACTAGGTGGCCTAAAATGGGCTCAGATCTGGGATCCTCCTGCCCCAGCTCTCCAGAGTACTGAAATTACAAGCATGCCCCATCACACCCACCTAATAGTTTGTACTTTAACTCAGCAGGTACAGTGATGGACTCCTTGTCTTCTCCTGCCTGAGGAAGTGGCTCCTCCAGAGGATCGATGTCCAAACTTGCTCTTGGAGTGCCCCCTCAGTCACTCTGGAAGCCCAACCTCCAGCCTTCCCAGCCATCCTAAGGGCCTTCCTTCCCAAAACAGCTTCTTGTACTCTACCATATCTTCCACAGGTCCAAAATAGCTCATGTAGGACTAAGAGATGTGATGCTATTTTGGCATGACAGTTGTGTTAGTTAATAAGTGATTTTATTAACTTAATAAAAGGAGCAGGAAGAAAATGCTCAGCTCAACTACAGAACACTTTCCAAGAAACTTGCCGTGATTGCCTGCCCCAGATGAATGAATGCATCCTGCATTCCACGTTGCGTAACTTGTACATAATCTAGTAAATTATGTTGGTTCAACGTATTAACCATTTCTATAATAAACCCCCATTTTCAATACCAAAATTATTTCAAATGGACCCAGGAGTTAACCATTATATGACTAGGTAAATAATTATGTATATTTACCTAGTCCTGACAGGGGTGGCCCTGCTTTGAAGGTTCCACCACCAGGCAGTTTTTCTTACTCCCATGCTCTGAGCTCCAACCTGTTTTCTTAGGCCACGTGCCAGCCCTCTCACTCACTGTTTTCCTTTTGTAGCATCCCTGAGTGGCCACATCTAATTACCTGCCTCTGTTGTCCCAGTGTCTCCCGGGCTTCAAACATTGTGTTAGCTGGGACTGTGGATATTTTGAGTAGTCAACCAAACCTGTATGTGTTATTGTTCATGCTGAAAGCACAAGTGTTTCCATGTCTACTTAATGGCTTAGTCTATTTTCTGTTGTATTAACAAAAGCATGAGACTGCATGATATATACAGGAAATCTATTCTGGCTCTTGATTCTGGAGCCTGGGGAAATCCAGGGGCAGGGGCTGGTGAGGGCTTTGTGCCACCTCAGTTGGTAGCAGAAGTGAAAGAATGAGCAGGTAGGTACATAAGAAAGGGACAAAACGTAAGGGTAGCCCCATGTCGTAACAAGTCAGTCTTGGGAACACTCACTAAGTCCTGAATGGGGCTAATCTCTCCTGAACCACCTGATTATCTTTTCAAGATCCCATCATCTCTCAGCTCTGCCAACCTGGGGGCTAATTTTCCAACACACAAACTCCAGGGGAAATATTCCAACCGTAACACACGCACTGTGTCACAAAACAGACAACTGGGTTATCAATTTCTGCTTAAAATATCTACAGCTGCTGTCACCTGCAGTTGAACTCTGAAACAGAAACAAAATCAGATCTCCCACCCACTCCACTCCCCAGCTCCACCTTCCAGAAACAGCCATCAAAAACAAGCGCTTGAATCCTTCCACCTGGGGGTCACGGCAACACATTCTGCCTTGTACTGGACTTCAAACTTCAGGACATGCAGCGCTCATTCATTATCTGGATTTGGTGTGATCTGTGTCAGCAACCTTCCCCCTCTTTCTGCCTATGGACATCTAGCATGTTTCAGCCGTTTACCATCACAGAAAATGGTATACTGAGCGTCTTTCACCTGACTACCTTATGTACAAGTTACGTGGAATGCAGGATGCCTTCCTAAAATCACGCAAATTGTTTCT